CATCTTTTTCAGTACCTTGACCATCAAAATGCAACCATTCAGAGAACCCACAGACAGGACCTGTTATGGACCGAACTGTGTCACCCCAAATTCACGTGCTGAAGTCCTAACCCCCAGCACCCTTCAGAGTGTGACTGTACTCAGAAATAGGGACGTTGTGATGGTTAATTTTATGTGTCAACGTGATGGCCACAGGGCGCCCTGATGGAACATGACTTCTGCGCATGTCTGTGAAGCTGTCACTGGAGGAGAGTCACGTCTGAGCCAGCTGCCCTCCCACATCCGGGGGAGGAGGTCTCAGCCAATCCACGGAGGGTCTGAAGAGAGGAGAGGCAGAGGAAGGGGGGAGGAAGTCACCCCTAACTTCCTGCCCCACTGGCACACTCCTCTCCGGCTCCGGGACTGGGATTTGTACCATGGGCTCCCCTGGTTCTCAGGCCTCAGACGCAGACGGAATTACACACCCCGCTTTGCTGGCGCCCAGCTGGCCGATGGCAGATCCCAGGACTTCTCACCCCTCCGGCAATTGCTCACAATAAATGTGCACCCACGTCTGCAGGTGTATATACATGCATGAGCTCGGCTTCCCCGCAGAGGCCTGACTAATACGGACCCTTAAAAGGGTGGCTAAGGTTAAACGAGGTTACAGGGTGGACCCTAACCCTACGCGACTGGTGTCCTTAATAGAAGAGGGAGAGACGCCAAGGAGGCACACACACAAAGGAAAGACCACGCGAGGACACCACGAGATCGCCTGCTGCTGACCACGGGGAGAGCCGTCAGGAGAAACCAAGGCTGCCAGCACCTCCGCCCTGGACCTCCTTTCCCTAGAACGGCAAGAAAATAAATTCCTGTTGTTGAAGCCACACAGTCTGTGACGCTCTGGTGTAACAGTCCCAGCAAACTAGCACAGGAGCTCACGCAGTACTCCTCACGTTCCCCTTAGTCCTGAAATGACCTGTTCCTCTTGTCTTCATGGGAAATTTCTCCCCCCTTCAAGGCCAGCTCAAACATCACCCCTTCTGTGAAACTCTCCCTAATTCTCCGCATTCCCATCTTTTGACACATTTCTCTTATAGAACTTTTCACGCGGTGCCAGTGCCTGTCACTTGGCTGTGAATCCTTTAAGAAAAGGAACCATATAAAATCCATCTTTGAATTTGCAATGTCTGGTTTAACGCCAGTGGGGTGAATGGATGGGTGAATACATGAATGGACAATGAATGAATAAATAAGATGCAGCTTCCCCTTAAGATGCCATCTGCCCTGCCGCCTGCGGATGGCTGTTTATTTTCAGCACCGCGTCCGCGGCAGAGCGTGGAGAGGTCAGCGCAACGTCCTAGCCCCGCACGGCTTCTTCCAGGCCACTCGTTTCCCAGTTTATGCAAAACTTCCTCTCCTATTTTCGATATTACTGTCCTCCACGTCTCATCACTTCATCTGTCAGCCTTCGGGTCATCCCTCCCACCTCCTGAGAACGTGTGTGCCATGACCACCGTGCTTCTCTCGACCTGAACCTCATTGGCTTCCAACCCTGGCTAGATCATCCTCTCCAAAACAGACTCGGAATTTCCCCCTCCACCCTCACACGTCGTCCACACCCGCCGCAGGAAAACCATCCCTGTCCCACACCGGACTTCATCATCGCAGACGTTCTCCTCTCCAGGCACTCAGGCTCTGTAAAAGCCAAGGAACGGACCCCAGAGATATCGACACCTTCATCCCCACCACCTGGGACTACGTCACCTTACACGACAGAAGGGGCTTTGCAGACGTGATGAAGAGTCTTGAAACGGGGAGACGTCCCTGGATTACCTGGGAGGGCTCCATGTAATGACCACAAGGGTCCCTCTAAGAGGAAGCCAGGTGGGTCAGAGTGAGAGGATGAGACAGGAAAGCAGACGCAGAGGCCGCTGTGATGGGGGCCACGAGCAAGGGCACGCAGGCCGCTGCAAAGGGCCAGACAGCAGACTCCGCCTTAGGGCCTCCGGACCAGCCCAGCCCTGCCCGCCCCCGTGAGGCCGCCGACGTCCAGCCCCGTGAGAGAGGAAAGCTACGGCGCTCTAAGCCAGCGTTTGTAGCCACTGGTCAAGCGGCCACAGGACACAGACCCAGGGTCCGGAAGAAAAGCCCAGAAGCACAAAAGTCCTGTTCTCAGGCAGATGCTCTCCCAGGACACCTAACCCTCTTCTCGCAAATCGCCAGTAAAGAAATAACATACACCAAACAAGTAACAGATTAATGACACTGTTGTTCCAGGCAAGGGGAGATGAAAGAAAGAAAGTCCAAAGGTACTTCAAGCTGTGCCTTGAAGCCACCAAGAGCTGACTGCCACTGCCAGCTCAAAACCAAAGCCCCTTGTGCTGGAGCACATTGCTGGCGAACGAGCGAAGGTGTGGTGCTAGGGGACAGGCAAGGCTCCTCCGAGGGTCATCGCTCCAGAGGCCTTTGCAGGGCTGGCACCACTGCCCAGAGGAGCATCTCTCTGGAGCAGGAACAGACATCCCTTTTCTTCCTGAGATGCTGCGAGACTCAACACCACCTGCCCCCAAGAGTAGCCTGGCCACAGCAGGAGCAAGGGTCTCCAGATCTTCAAGACCTTCGGAGAGCTAGGTCAGCAAAGGGTAGTTATTGCCCAGACAGGAACTCTCAGAGATCCTCACAAACTCTCGGTACTTGGAGTCTAAACGTGTCCTTGCCAAGGCTGCTTCTCCACCTGTCTTAGCAATAAACCCCCAGCGGGGCCCCTCTGCAGCCGAGCCACTAAGTCCTTACGGGGACAACAGATGAGACAATGGTGTCTGACACAATGCATTTCATTCGTTTATCAAAACCGCTTTGCTTCTAAAAACAACAACTTTGTCATAAAGAAGTGGATTCAATCAACTTCACTTAAGTCATAAACAAGAGGGTCTGAAATCATATCAAACCAACACCCAACAGTGTCTCTCTCTTGTAACTAGACTGAGCCCCCAAAGGTGAATTACAGTGTCTTTCTTGCCCTGTATCCCCAGCTTCTGGCACAATGCCCACAGTGTTGTGAGAAATGATAAGAAGGAAAGAAGGGACTCAGAGCTGGTGAGTGAGGTGGCCAAACAGCCAGCCCCCCCCAACATACACACCCCAGCACCAGCGCCCACACCCGTCCTGCCCCTCACCTCCTCCCAGGGGCTCACCTGGTGGAGACTGGGGCTTGGAGCACAAGCTCACACCAGTCGAGACAACAAGTGCGTGGCGCGTTCACCTGACAGTCCTGCTTCATCCAATCCACCCCAGCATCAGGAAGGCACTCTTGGCTCCCTCAGTGCCCCAGACCATCTGGTCAGGTGGCACAGTGCCCACTTACAAGGTCAGTGTCTTACCGCCCTGAACATTCCAGTTTATGCTGCAGAGTAAACTTTCTCTCTGGACCAGCACGGGGAAGTCTTCAGAATCATCATCGGCCCCTCTGCCACGCACTTCTCACTTTAATTCTCGGCTAGGTGGCAGGCATACTTCTCCAGAGCCTCCTGGGATCCTCTACCGGCCCCAAGGACAATGGAATGGTCTGGGAGGACCAAGACAGCCGCACCCACTCTCCTTTTCTGTGGGATGTAGAGCAGCAGCGAAGTGGCCAGATTTCTGGGCTCTCAGGGATGTGCCCCATTCACTTTGTGGACACTGGATCCTAAGTCAGACTTCGGCTTTAGAAGCGCAGTCATGAATGATGTCCCACATCTAAATGACGGTTCCTTTTGCATTCAAAAGAAACCTCGACCCCAACAGTACAAAAGGAGGTGAGAGAAGAAGCCACAACATGCTTCCTGTTGGCACAGTTTTTGGTTGCAGTTTGCTTGAGGATTCCTCTAAATATCTGGTGACTAATGTTATAAAGACAAAAGGCTGCTGACAGCATAGAGGATGCTGAAGACAGGCAACCACGAGCAGCTCTATACAAATGATAGATGTCCCGTGGGAGGATAAAAAGCACAGCCACACTGCAGACAGAGCTCCTGGGGACCATGAGGGACAAGGAAGCGGGCTTCCTGTGAAACTGGCACACTCTGCTACATGGTCACTGCTACTGTCAGGTATTTAATCTTTTTACAAGTAATTCTGCCTGTGTAGACAACTAAAGGCAAATTACGGAAAGCAAAAACAATCAACCATAGGGAACATTCACAAGCAATCTATTAGAAGATTGTCTAAATGTACGTCTCCACCTCTGCCTTCTGCTCCTATGTATCTGGGGAGGAGAAGGGAAGAAGAGATGGAAGGAATAAAAAGTCTCACCCTTGAGGCTTCCTTCTCTACGAGGTCCCCCTTAACCTCTGCAACCCACGATGACCTTTCCTTCCCCTCATACACTGAATAACCTGCATTTTGCCATGCCCATACTGAGTTGCTTTACTAAATATTCACCAGGATCCAAGAACTCATCTTCCCAATTATCCACAAGGTCCTCGGGGACAAGAGAGGCTTCTATTCCCCCACACCACCAATCGCAGTGACTGAATACAGCAGATGCTCCAAAGATTTGACTGCTTGGGTTATGCCAGCAGCAAATAACCCCAAATCGCAAATATGATTTTGTTACACAGTATTATGAAATTGTAGAAATAAATCTTTCTCTGTATTGATGTTTTATGCCGTGTATTCTGCAATTCCTGAGAACAAGATCGGGGAGCTGAGTACTGGAGATGGGAGAGGGGCGCAGGGGGTGCGGGGTGAATGTTAAAATGCACCAGGCCAGTGAAAAATTGCGCACATAAGGTTGAAAGAAACCGGATCACTGATAGTGAAGAAACTTTTGCCTAAACGGTTTGCACACTTCATTTAACGACTGGAGCTGGAAGTCTTGAGTCTCGGAGGGTCATTACCTGCAAGCCTGCGCTCTGGTCCGCTCTGCTTCGGGAACCCGGGCGCCCGCCTGGCGGGCTCGCGCTGCGCGCGCTCTGCAGCGGGGATCCCGCTGCGCGGTGCAGGCATGGCGGC